AAAAAAAAAAAAAAAAAAAAAACTTTTTTTTTTTTAAAGTTGAAATAAAGCACAAACTCAAGTAAAATAAGTTAAAATAAAATATTAAAAAAGTAATATATATGGCAAGCGTTCATAGCAATTTTTAAAAAAAAATTTTTAGTTGTAAATCTATATAAAATGTAAAGCAAATATGACAAGCTCTTAATAAAATTAATTAAAAAAAAATGTGTTAATTGAAATAATGCATATAAATTAGAAATGTTGCATTGACAACTATGGAAATAAAAGTGAAGTGCTAAAATTTCTAAAACTAAAATAAAACAAATTAAAGCTAAATAGGATAAAACTAACAAAGATTATAAAAGATCATAGCAAAATTGTTAAAAAAATAATTACTATTATTTACCTATTTATTTTATTAATACTATTATTAATAAAATAATTACTATTATAAAACCTAAACAAAAATTATAGTAGTCGACATTTGAAGTAGATCAAAAATGTTGATCCTAAAAAAAAAAAAAAAATCTTAAGAACAATGGTTTGAAAAGGAGTTATGCCATAGAACTATTTTTGTTCCCCAAAGAACCTTTCAATGAACAGTTTTTTTTAAAAGAACCATTTTTTCTTAGTTTTTAATAATCTAAAAACCTTTTCCACTAGAAAGAACCTCCTGTGGAAAGGGAAGGTTCCACGGATGCTAATTCCTCATGGAACCATAAATGTTAATAATAATCTTTATTTTTAAGAGTGTACCATCAAAGATGGTCCACAACCAGAACTGTTGTGTTTTGTAACACAGACTGATTAAGCATCCATTCTGCTGTTGTTTAGAGGGCTTCCCGCTGAAGAACCTGCAGAGTCCAGTGAACGCGACCCTGCGGCGCTTCCTGCACGGCTCAGACGCTGTGCCCTCCTTCTGGAACTTCAGTCTGCTGGGTGGACAGGGCGGCTGGCAGAGCGACGGCTGCCGGATCCTGCATCAGGACGACAACTTCACCACAATGTCCTGCCATTCACTGAACAACTACGCTTTACTGATGGTGAGAGAGACCAGAGAGGCGTACATTTCAGTCTGTTCTTCATAAACTATTGTAGGGCTTTCGAAGACTTGGCGCACATGTTGCTTGTAGTACTTTTATAGTGCTTTTTGTTGTTGTTTTTGTTTTTTTTGAATGTCTATGAAAAGAGTCTGAACATTTTGCTGGACAATTCCTTTTGTGGACTGGAAATTTGAATTAAAAAAAAAAACAAATTATATATGTAGATAGATAGATAATTTCAAATGAGTAAAAAAAAAATTTTTTTTTAATTTAAATAAAGCACAAACTGAAGTAAAATAAGTAAAAAAAATAAATAAATAAAATAAAATTTTAACAATAACAACACTGCTAAAAACTAGTACAATTTTGCTTCTCGTGTAAATATTTTGATTTGATGTTAAAATGTTGTTGTTACTGTGATACAAGATCAAGATACTGATTAAGGATTTGATTTTTCCAGTGTATGATTACCATTTTTTCACACATCAGGTTATGAACATAGTCCAACC